TCACGAATCGCTCACCTATTCTCGTAGTCTCATCCATTCATTTGTTTTTGTAAATGAATTCTAACTAGTGCATTGTAATGCATTATTCAGACAGGGCAAAATGCGCTTGCCCTCATCCACTGTTTAGGCAACATTGTTTTTATGAATATAAGTATATTGGAATATGAGTTAGGTGTTTGACATCGTTTTTAAGCAGGCCTGAACAGGTAGAAGGCATGATCACATTGCGAGATGTGGTAAAAGGTGGGGAAAGAAGAGAGATCTGCTTCATTGGATGTTGAAATAAAATAATGTAAATTACTGGTCATTGTTTGACATCAAACATCCTTCACACCTCCCCCCCCCCCCCCCATCTTTCCATATCCATAGTGGTATGTTCGGTTCTAAGACCATGTTCTCTTTTATTTAATGATTCAAACAATAAGTCCAGCATTCGATCTGTTCGGTTGGAAGGCAGTTTTTGTGCGTGCCTAATGCAGTGACACAAAGCCCCTCTCATCCTAGTCGGCGCTGACAAATAAGTCCAATTCCATCTTACACTGCGAGTCCCTTGGCCATGCCCTGCCTGGTGCCTTCCAGGTGTCGTCCGAAATGTCTCTCGCTAATGGATTCGACACTGTCCGAGAACAGCCTCAAAAGCCGAGCAGTCACGTGATTGGCCCGTCAGCCAATCAGGAGGGCCACGTGCCTGCCGGCCAGCGACTAGGGTGGTTATTAGCCCGAGGCTAATCAGTGGTCAGGCGCGTCCTTTCCGAGATGCTCCGGCGAACGGTAGGGGAAGTTGGGGGAACGCCGAATACTTTTTTTCTGACGCCCGTAGCACGCAAGGTAGACAACATAAGCTATTCTTGTTGGCGTCATTCGAGAGGCCAGTCTTTTGCCTTTCAAACATACCAGGCGCATTTGATGAATTCGCATACCGTTAAGCGCACAAACTAAAAATATCAAAGAAGTGACTTTTTCGGCGTTGCCCCGGACTGCGGGGAAAGCCGAAAATGGGAGAAATGATCTACGGGGAATGCCGACATTGATGTTTTGCCACTTTATCTAAAACTTTATCCAGAATTTATCAAAGCTGACACGCGTTTTAAGAGCTTGAGGACGCTTGGTGCACACTGGAAGTTATAATTGTGTGATATAATAAGAAAATGCCAGGTAAATAATTCCTTATAGGTAACAGGCCGTTGTGTCGGTGGAAAGTGTAATTTGTGTGACTAAAAATTCGCGTTGCTATTCTACAGCAGTAAAGTCCACGTAGCGTGCTTTAACGTGCGTAATTGCACGTTTTCGGCATTACCCCAGCAAGCCATACTTTCATTTGCAGGCCCATAACTTTTCAACGTGCCGTATAAATTTCAAATAGGCAGCACACTTATGCAAAGACATGCTGAAGATTACTTGACCGAATTGGCCAGACAAACGGTAGCATAATGAGTAAGAAATGCAGCTTCAAAGGCGCATGTAGTACAAGGAACGCGTACCTTGAAAACGCTCTTGGCGCCCTCACAGCCGAAGTATTCCGAATGACGACTCGTAACAAACATGCGATAATTGTAGTCACTTAAGCTTCAGAGCATCACTGACAGGTGGCATCCATGTATTACGGTTTTCGAAATATCTCGAATTTCGGCTTTGCCCCAACTCCGGCATTGCCCCAACTTCCCCTACAGCCGGTCGGGCTGGTTTGGCTTCGTCTGCGGCACAGCTAGGCCGGTGTTATTTTACTCGACTCTTTTGGTGTTAAAATGGCTTTGCATTTGTGACGTGTCAATTACAAGCTCATAAACTGCCTTTGACATGTCATAATGGAAGCATCTCACTGAATCTGCAGTCACCAGTCCCTGTCACACCACTTTTAGCTCCATCAGACCATCAGTTGGACACACCATGACCAGACCATCAGTTGGTTATACTAGACAACCAATTGGCCAAACAGACTACCGATCGGCCTCACCAGAACACCAGTTGGCCGTACCAGACGACTAGACCACGGCATGAAGGACTAGAGACTACTACCTGGTTATCTCAGACCACCAGTCGACCCTCAGGCTCAGACCACCAGCGCGCTGCGCAGTGGGGCGTTGATGAAGTGGCCTGACCTCAGGGTCCAGCGGGCGGTTCGCCAGACTATACAACGGCCACTAATGCCTGAGACAAGCAGCGATCGATCTACCCTGGTCGGCTCTGACCGGGTGGACAGGTCGCGGTGGACTGGGTGGACGGGTCGCGGTGGAAGGGGTGGACCGCGGGGACTGTTCAAAGCCCAGAGCATTGGGCTGTGCGGCAGAGCATTTGTAGTGCGGAAATGTTGAGCGCTGAGAATGTTCTGACATCCCTGTCATTAGCCACTTGTTCGTGGGACATCCGGAAACTAACTATTCCGTTAATTTTCCAACAAGCTGAACGAATCATTCCGTGCGAGCAAACCCAATCTACTCAGCATTAAACTTCTTGACCAAGAACGAGGACTTGGAACGTAAGTTTCTCGACTTCTGAGTAGTTGGCTTAAATCACGTTTCAGTTGTACGATCGGCTGAAGAGGTTTCTCTCATCTCTGACGACTGACCCGAATCTGAAAACTGACCATCTGAGTCAGACGTGTTTTCCGTTCGTTGTTTGAACAATGTTGACAACAGATACACTTCTCTGCACTTCGCTGTATGAAATACCGAGATAAAACTGGTATGAACCGGTCTACATCACAGTGGAGGAATTTAGCTCGGTTACCTGAGCTTCTAACATAATGCACACCTACAATTCAAGTTAGATTAATTTCAATTTTAAAGTCGATTGTCTGATCAGTTGCTTATTTCTTCAATGACGGCATAAATTTTGCCAATAGTTTTACCGGCTTCTTATAAAGATATCAGCTTCGTCCTTGACCTTTTGCTTGCTTGCGGTATGTATCTGAGTAGGTCAGCTGCTGGATTCCTTTTTGATTTGATGATAATGATGCTCCTTCCACGATGCCTTGGGTCAGCGTCCATAAACACTGGAGCCGGAAGGGTCGTTTCCGGGCGGCGTAGAGCAACGCTCCTGTGTCGTTAGGGCACAATAACGGCGGCAGTGGTAGCGGTAACAACGGTAGGAAGGGGACGGGCGGGCGGGCCAGATCTGAGCCGAAAAACGACCGGCACGCCCCGTGTCAACCGATCCAGTCAGCTGAAGGGTAGGAGTGAGTCGGCAGGGTGGATTTGCGGACGCTGTGGTGACCACTGAAAATGGTGGTGACCGCTGAATATGTTGCCCTTTGCTGAGTTACCTATCAGCAGTTTTCAGTGAATGATACGACGTGTATTAATCCAGGTCAGATTTTGTTGCCTCAAGCATGGTTGGCGGTGCAGTGCCCTATTATGCATCTCGACGGACGTGGTGTGCTGCAATTAGTAACCGCAAATGTTGCGAGAGGTCGCTATACATGTATGTTATGGGATTCATGTTGATGGATGTTTTTTGGCCGTTTGTTACATTTACAGTAATCGCTGATTCTTGTTATATTTATAAAACTCATACAAGTTCGTAAAGCCGGGCACAACTTTAGCTTCTGCTGGGCTAATGCCGTGATTTAACTTTGAACCCAACTTTGTCTAGATCATACCGGGTTCAGGACCGACTTAGTCTACCCTAAGGGGATGGATGTAGGATGCCGGGACGAGCACACTTGTTGCACATGGGATCAAAAGAGTATGCGATTGTTCAGTGCTGTTGTACGTTGCATATACAAAATACATGCATAATTATGCAGGTGCATGCTTTTGATTATACATTAATTGATGGTATACCACCGCCTATAGGCGGTCACGAGGTAACGAAATGTAAAAACAAAATGAAGCGTACGTCCAAAGATATATTTAGAGTAGTGTTTAGGTCACGTCTACACATCACATGCCTACCAACTGCAATGCACGGGTCTGGTGCTCCCTCGTTCATCGCCCAAAATATTCCGCCATTGCCTAAAGACATCGCAATTGGCATCCGTAGCCATTCACAAAGCGCCCTTGCTGATTCGCACTCACTAACCATTCTCACCACCGTAAACCTCCACCAGTGTTAACCCTCGCCCGTATAGGGGGGGGGGGGGGGGTCGAACGGACCCCCCCATGGTTTTTCGCGAATAACTCGCGTAAAAAGCCGCCGATCGCGACGAAACTTTCAGTACCCTCGCGTTCATCAATTTCACACCTACCCTGAAAATTTCATGACCCTGACCCAAATGACCTTTGACCTGTGACCTACTTTTCGAGACCATGTTTGGCTGGAATCGCGATTCGGCGTATGTCGGCTCGCATTAGCCGCGCGTTTGCAGTCTTTTCGTGGTTTCAAGCGTTCAAACATGTGATATGATGTTACCCCCATGCATTAGATTGGGTGTCAAGGTCACCTGAAGGTCAGGTCAGGTCATTGACCTTTGATGACCTCGGTTCACTTTTTCGAGTTTTACATGTTTCTAGGCCAGTTTTTGGAGCTGAATTCGAATTTAGCAGCCATATGAACATTTACGAAGTAGTTTTGGTGCCTTCGTAACATGTTACGAAGCTGTCAGAGGCGGTTGCCACCTACTACGAATACCCTTACTGGTTGACCTGACCTGACTTGACCCGACCTGGCCTAAATACATGAATACATCATCTGTGATCAAAACTAACATGATATTCGTGATCAGCACCCCGAAAAACCCCATAGCAGCCACACTTTACGACGTTCTAACAGGTCCCGATTTTCCCGCCTTTGGGGTCATTGACCTGACCTGTAAGGTCAATCAACCAATGACCTAGGACCTTAAAATTGGATATCATCGGCTTCCTCTCGTCACGGGCAACACGCTCGTTTTTTCCGCGAAGCTCTAGCTCGATCAGGGGCGAAACGGCAAGGGGGGGTCCAACGGACCCCCCTTATACGTTCGCGGCTGGAAAAACACCAATACGGGCGAGGGTTAAACCGTTTCCAGCGCTGTTCTGCCCCGTTTTTCCGTGTTTCCGACCTCTCTGTGCCGCTTCCAGGACGTACCGGGCTCTGGACGAGTGTCTGCCCTGCTCGCCGGGCTGCGTGCGGTGCGTCGGCGGCCGCGCGGACGAGTGTGTCGCCTGCGGAGAGGGTCTGCTGCTGACTGGGGGTAGCTGTGTGTCCCGCTGTCCGGACGGCCAGTTCGCCGCGGGGGAGGTCTGCCGGCGCTGCCACCACTCCTGCCGCACGTGCACAGGTATGGAGCCGGCGCGGGGGCCGGGGTGGGAGCCGGCGCGGGCGGGAGGTGGGACAGAAGGTGGGACAGAAGATGATACAGGAGGGACAGGAGAGTGTGAAGCCGGCTCGGGGTGGAAGAGGTGGGACATGAGATGGGACGAGCTAGGGATGGATGGGTGATGCTGGTAGACTGACACTAACAGTGCTGTTAGTGTCAGTCTACCAGCATCACCCATGCTCAGTGCCATTCGCCACTGCCATTCGCTGCCATGCCATTCGCCACTGCTCAGTGGCGAATGTCACTAGCGCACTGGCCTTAAATGATAAAATGTCAGTGGTACAAGTTACAGCTGATGAAAGTACAAAAGGATGGTTAGAGAGGAGTCTGATACGATCCAGCACATCTTATCACAGAATGGTAGCGTCTACCGTCTAGTCCACACTCAATGGCCCCCACCCAACTGCCACCCGATCAGTATTCATATTGCGCGTCCCGGCATGTGCTGTCGGGGTCCGAGGGATATGCGCCAGCCGCCGGTAGGTCATCTGCAGCATACCTATACCGATATATTGTGTGTCAGGTGCGGCACATATCCTGACCACGGCTATAGCGCGGCAGTCGGTGCGGACAGGGTCGTCACTCAGTTGTGGTGGCTGTGACTGGCACCGACCGCGGCCAGCTGTCAGTGGCACGACACGGGGATCTGCTGGGTGTGGGGAGCACCCCGGCCAACACGGCCAACATGGCCACTAGCCCGGGTGGCTGGGCAGTGGAAGGAGTCACAGGGCCCGCTGGGGGAGGTGCGCCCTGCCGACTGCTGACCTGGCCAATGCCCACCGCACACTGACCGCTGGCCACCCCCACTGAGCGTCACCGTCCACCGCCCACCGACCACTGACCACCGTCCACCGTCCAACGAGCATCGACAATAGCTTGCTGCCAAAATCCGTCCACCGTATTGATTTTTTTTTTTTTTACCTGTAATATGTGCGGTACAATGCACAGTTCAGCAATCTGTCACTCATTATCGTAGCCCAGGCACTTAATTATTTCTGAAGGCTATAAATGCCGTTCATTCACACACTCCCCTTCATTTTCTAGCCGCCCTAAAAGTGGTGTCTGGCTTCTTTGATTGCATAACACCAATCGGTCATATAGCTAGCAGCATTGTCTTTGTTTCCCATCCACCGAGTCCATTAGCAAATAGCCGACAAAGGCTGTTTGATAAAGCCACGTACGACCGCGACTTATTAGACTATTGTAATGTCATTGGTAGTGGCGCTGTGCCTGCCTGTAGTGACACACGCTCGGTCATTGCGCGGCCGGCAGTGTGGTGATGTGTTGGTAGTAACGTAACGTTATGTTACGGTGAGGTGATGATGGCTTGTGGACGGTGGCTTGTGGACGGAGGAGTTAGCTATGTGCAATATTATTTTTGCGTACATTTTGCCACATTTACCTACATCAGCGTTTGTTACGTAAATTATTGGTGATTCTGTGCGCCGCTACTAATATGCTGCATTGTGATAATCCCTTACCGGTTGTCTCAGCCTTTAGAGTGATGCAAACAAATCGAATACCCAAAACGAACCTTCAAATCGATGTAAGCATGGTGGTAGAGCTGATCAATGATCATTCCAACAAGTCAAAATGAGTTATGCCTGAAATAGACTATTTCCGCAGTCAGGAAATCGCATGCGAGAGCCTATTCAAATACATGGAAGCACGCTCGCATCAATCGCACGCACCTCCCGGATGCGATTGATGCGGGAAGAATTATACATAATGTATTTGAATAGGCTCTCGCATGCGATTTCCTGAACGCGGAAAGAGTCTGTTTCAGCCATTATTCTGTCGGTGTAACTCGTACCAATATTGTCAAAATAGTCTATTTCCAGTTCATCGGCTGCCTCACGGCGTCGTGCCCCCTTACGTACCCTGTCTTCTCCCTACCCCTCTCCGGCAGGCGGCGGTATGACGGGCTGCACCTCGTGCGCCCGCGGCTTCCAAATGCGGCCCGCCGAGCGCGCGTGCGTGCCGTGCGCCGACCACGAGTTCTACTCGCCACGGGACGCCACGTGCCGGACGTGCCACCCCTCGTGCGCCACGTGTCACGGCGCCGGCCCCGAGAACTGCACCTCGTGCGCCGGTGAGCCGAGCTGGAGCGATGTTCATCTGTTGGCGTGGTCCTCATATATCGAAGGCCTGAATGTAGTCAAGACGCCGTTTAATTCTCCCATTTATAGACACTAAAAACGGCTCCTTTCACTTTCCGCGCATCTAGCTTGTCGCATTAGTGCTTTTTATGGTTTTGTGTCTGACACATTTCGCTCCTATTTAAGTGTCTGTTTACTCGATTGCCGTGTTGTTGTCATACCATAAGGCTTCCGGCGCCGTCAGCCGTCTCCCGCGACCCGTTGTTTGCTTTACCTTTACTCATTCTCTCTCTCCCTCTCCCTCTCCCTCTCTCTCTCTCTCTCTCTCTCTCTCTCTCTCTCTCTCTCTCTCTCTCTCTCTCTCTCTCTCTCTCTCTCTCTCTCTCTCTCCCCTCTCCCTCAGGAGATCTGCACCTAGAGAAGCAGCGCGGTCGGTGTGTGCCCTGCTGTGACAGACACCGGCCGCTGCCCGATACCGACTCGTGCTGTACCTGTGACCCGTCCGGAGGTAAGCAATATACCCGCAGAGGACAGTGCTGACCCTGGGGGACACGGGAGGGTCATCTGCTCTGTGACTTCCGTGAAAAGCTGGGTATGGTTTTTCAGTTAAGATCAAATCTGCCATTGTAGTGTTTAATGATTATTTGTGAATGACACAGCCGAGTCTTCTCATGTACGAGGCAACGACTCATTTCTTCACAGATAATCAACGCCTCGAAATATGATTAAAGAAAATAATTTATGTCATTATAGAATCATCCTGTTGTAGGTCATTGTGCGGCTTTCGTCAGTTCTATTATGCTTTTGTTACATAGCAACGCTGTCCGCAACACATTGTGCATTCGGAGACAGCCAGTCTCTGCGCTAGATCACTCGGGTGGCTTACGGACACTAATCGGGACCAAGGATCGGGACAACTGAACAGCCTGCCCGAAGCTGTGGGGATAGAAATGCTGACGAAAGTGGGACTGTTTTTAGTCCAATCGTAATACATAAGACTCCTCGATGAACTGGAATGACTCGTCAGTCTATTTTGCCGACCCGGCTAAATACTGCGGCCCGCGCCTTCGGTTTACATATGTCGGCAAAAACCCCTACCCTACCCCTACCCTACCCCTACCCTATCCTACCCCCTACCCTACCCTACCCTACCCTACCCTACCCTACCCTACCCTACCCTACCCTACTACCCTACCCTACCCTACTACCCTACCCTACCCTACCCTACCCTACCCTACTACCCTACCATACCCTACCCTACTACCCTACCCTACCCTACCCTACTACCCTACCCTACCCAACCCCTACACTACCCTACCCTACCCTACCTTACCCTACCCTACTCCTACACTACCCTACCCTACCCTACCCTACTACCCTACCATACCCTACCCTACCCTACCCCTACCCCTACCCTACCATACCCTACCCTACCCTTACCCTACCCTACCCTACCCTACCCTACCCTACCCTTACCCTCCCCTACCCTACCCCTACCCCTACACTACCCTACCCTACCCTACCCTACCCTACCCTACCCTACCCGTAGCCCTTACCGTTCCCGAGCAATAGCCTGTTTTTGCCGATTATTACATATGTCTGAGACTTGCCGGGTACAAAGACATGATGGTAGCCCAAAACAATGCATAATGCATATACTTGTTCCAGTGAACTCACCACCGTTGGCATGCGTTGTCCCTGAGCAGATTTTGAGGTCATGAATGCTGACTCGAAATAAACATAGCTCTATGAATAATAATTGGAAAGCTGCAGGAACGGAATTGTTGAGACCTCGCATGGGGGCGAAGGAGGCGACGAATAAGCCTTTGTCATCCCGTCCCTTATCTGCCATGGGATTTCGTTCGATAGAAGGCTTTGCATAAGCTTGACGTGACTCTAAAACGACCCACAAGTCTACAACTAGTCGTAAATAACCCGTAGATGTGCTTTTCCCGTTTTAGTGACGTCTCAGTTTTATTCACTTTGTAATCCCAAAACTAACACTATCGCTTTCATCACAATTCTCACCAGCACCACCGCCACGGTCAGAGCAGAGCCATGGTGTCTATATATAGTTGGCGTAGGGCATATGCCGACGGTTAACAAAACAATCGAACTGTGTGGATGTCAATAGGGCGACCAGTCCCACTTCCACGCCTGTGTCCGGCTGCTGGGCGCGCGGTGTTCAGTAGTCGCTGCACTTGTGGCGTGACTCGCGAACATCAGTCGCGCCACATAACATTGGTCGATAGCCAATGATGGATGTAGTAGGTTTAATGTCACGCGTCATTTTAGAGCCCTCCGCTGTAGTTTCGTGATGGCTCTACATGTGCGACTAGTGTTAGCCGTGTGATTTCTTGGATAGGTTACTGACGTCAACTTCAGAGAAGTTGTATAATTGATTTACTTGAAGCACGAGATTAATATTACACCGGTCGGTTGGCTGGGGAAACGTCAAAGACGCATAGAGCTAGATGTGCAGGTGATAAAGGTTAAGCATATTGTAGCCATTGAGCAGTGTCGGCTGATATACTGTGTCTGGTAAGTGGTATCAGGGGTTACCAAATATCAAGCTTCTTGCGTTCGCTAACAATCATGCACATTGGTAGAACATTGACCTGTCAGCTGCGAGCCGCAGTCCCAACATGACGTGTTGCCTTTGACCTCGGCTCCCTCGACACGCGACTTTAATGGCCCGTGAAACGTACTAACCACGCGACGTGTGGCATTTACATTTGAAACGGGACCTCTACCGGACACGCATTGCGTCATACTGACGTCCCCGGCGACCTGCGGCGGTGTCTGTATGACCGTGACCTGGTGACCTCTGTCCCCCAGATCACTGTGTGCGGGGCACCTGGCGGCGCACGGCCGGGCCAGAGTTCCAGCCGCTGGAGCCGGCGACCTCCGACGGCACATTCAGCTGGTTCTACGTGCAGGCGGTGGGCGGGTGCGCCGCCACGCTTCTGCTGTTCGTACTCATCTTCTTGGGCCTACAGGTGAGTCGAGAGGCGTCACATTGAGTGCAAGGAATGAGGAATGGCAGACGCATGAGCGATTCTGAAGGGAACTAATAACTAGTTAGCTTACAAAAACGAATCCTTTGGTATTTGTTTGAACTGACTACGGGCAATTCGTCTGAAAGCCGAGAATCGATTATAAGTAGGCGCTGTATGCCAAATGGAGTGCATTTTATGCACCGCCGCGCTGGCAGCCGTCGGGGGAAGCCTCCCCAGGTCCAAAGACCGCTCTGGAAGCACAGTCGGGGTTCGGTCCACCCGACCGTTCCCGCGATGCATATTGATCAGTATCGTGTCTAAGATTGGCGGCACTAATGGATGCGTGCGTGCCTTCCATTGTAATCCGCACGGCTTTCACGGTAGTCTGTCATTTTGTGGCACAGTTTTGGCCGCCCGCCTTCCGGGCTGCATTAGAGGATTGGGCCCATGAGTGAGCCCCATACCGCTCCAATAGATGTGAATATCGAGGCTAATGTCTTATACGCACAGAGAAGTTCAGGTGTGGTGTGCATTAGGTATTGTTCACATTAGAAAAGGGTTTAGGACAAACGAGTAAGTCAACTAACTCCTGCTTAGTATATGTATTCTCACTCTCAATTAGCCTGTATATGTTTCTATCCACCTGTCGTGTTTCACTCATCTGGGGCAGCTGGCTAGCAGATGAGTTTCATTTAATTGGAGCACCTGGAAGCCCCGAGTCCCGCGGTTTGGGGCTGGTTTGCCTACGTGTGCGACTGCGGTCCCTCCGGCGTTTGATGGGACGGACGTGCGCGGGCGGTCGCCGCACCATTGTTTGATGTCGAGCGGAGCAGTGCGCCGTTTTCGGGTGATTTCCCCATTCTCCCAGTCAGCAGAGAGCCTCCCCTAATCCGGCGGATGATGAAAGTCCGCTGAACATTGGGGCGGCTCAGATACAGCGCTCGCCTGTCCTGGAGCGGACCTTATGCGACAGACGAGCGATCACAGTCGGCAGAAGGGATAGCCGGGAGCTCCGACCGGCCACGGTCGGTCGGTACTCCGCTGTGGGTGGCCGTGGGGCTACTAACAATCCTGACAAACGACGATCAGCATATTCAAAATTTCACTTTGTTTTAGTCTGTTTCTGTTGCTCATTTGTTTCATCGAAGCTCACTACACTTTTCTACTATGAAATGAACCAGTTTGACTTGTGGGACCAGTGAAGTAGGTAGTGTTGTCTGCAGTTTTGCGGCAATATGCTCAGAGTTCATCAACATCAGATTGTGATCAAAGTTAACAAGAATGCCTAGGGTGATTTTGAATAAACCGTTGTACATACAGTGCATCGCCTAATGCCCGTTATTTATGCGAATCAGCACTCAACTTAATATTGGACGCGTTTTATGGAACAATTAATCAGACGGAAAGTATTATTTGATGCTCCTTCATCCCAGTATTCGATGGTTATATATTTAATGGCTGATGCTGCTCACGAGCTGGAAGCCTGTGAGGTCTGAAGAACTGTAATTTGCCGTCTAATGGTGCCGGCGACATTTTCTCCCTGGTCTAAATGGGTTTTTATTCCTCATGAAATGAAGATTAAAAGCTTCAACGAGCCTCGCGTGCTGACACAACGGGGACGCTCCTAAAACCCCGTCATTTTTTTCGTCCGAAGGTAATCTGGCCAGAGACAGAGCTGCCACAGTTGCTATGTAATGTGGGGTGTTGGTCGGCAGTTGTCATGCGATATGTCTATCCCTGGCATCAATGGTTGTCAGGAAAAGTGTGCGGCAATGATCGAAGCTGCGATAAGATTTTTTGCTGGTTAGTTGCAGGCTGCAGCAATTGACAAACCCAGTCCCAGAATTTTCAACGATGTTGTTGAGCTGCGTAGAGTCTCAACTTTTCCCTGTGAATCGGTTAAACTTCCTAAATGTTCGTAAATGTGCATTGCGAAATATGTGAAACAAAGTGCTGAGCATGACCAGCACTTTGCAATCATTGAATATGATTCTTTAGGCCTTAACTGAAGTGAACTTACTGAGACAGCTCCTATCATCGAATAACCAGCATCTTCAGTAAGTTATCCAGTGTTCAGAGGGATTCGTACTGCTGGAAATTACAGATTTTATCCGTTGGGCGACAGGATTGAGCATGGCCTATGGGATTTGTATAATGTCTTTGCAAAGGCATTTCTATCCTTGACAGGTCGATCATGGCGTTTGATATAATGAGGAACCCGTATCGTCCTTCAACTAGCCTCATCTCATATGCGCGTCCTCCCATTATTATTCCTGTCTGTCTAAAGCTCTCCTCGGAATTTCCTCGTATGGCTGACTGAAGAGACGGCAGTCTGAATTTCGTGGTGCCGGAGGGGCGATAAGTCGGCGGCGCCGGCGGCGGTCGCTGTCGGACATGCCGTATCTCTGCCCCGTACATGCCGTATCTCCGACCCGTACATGCCGCCGCTGCCGGCTCGGCGAAAGGGAGCGCCGCCGACGGCCCGGTAAAAGCTGCCGTCGACGGCCCCGTCGCCCGCGGCGGCGGATGTGTCACCGACGGCGGCGGGACGGGACGGAATGGGACGGGACGGGACGGCCGCGTGGCACTCGGTAGGCGCGGAGAGCGAGGTGCAGGCTGACCGAGAGAGCTCCTTGGGAAGAGGAGCTGGAGGAGAATAATGAAGAGAGCTGATTTGGGAGACTGGAGTTGATGCGTGCTGAAGGCAGGATTGATACTGGCCGACCAAGACAGCTGACACTTGACAGGGAGGCGGGGTCGCGTGGACAGAGGGCTGGGCAGTTGGTCCGGACTGCGCTCTTCCTCACATCGGTTTGTGTTCCGATGTGCAGGGTTGCGAGCTCCCTAGCTCTGCGGACCGGCCGCGCAGCTCAGACGGCGTTGAACGGCGCTACGTGACGGTGCAGCCGGCCACCACTGCGGGCTGCACGAGCTGGCTCCCGGGCGGCCGGACGAACCTGGCCCGTCTGAAGCACGGCACTGAAATCTGATCAGGCCTCTGATCCACTTACCGACCGAGATCCGAGCCGGTCGGTGCCTAGGAGGAGGGAGGGGTAGACCGCCGTACTGCGAGCGGTGGGCGAACATCAACTTGTACGGTGATGCGTACCTAAATTAGCATATCTAGCATTGCATCGCCAAAAATAAAATATTTTTACTGAAAATTCATTTTAGTGGATTATATTGGTTTTATTTACAGGAGCTATTCATATTGCGATGTTTCACAAAGTTTTAATGCGAAGTTTCTAACAAGCGTCATCAGTAGGTATTGGATCAACTACCCTCTGCAATTTTTCTCTGGGCTTCCCTCATCCCTGGCTGGCCAATATTGCATCGTCTTAACCATGATTTAACAACTTGCGCAAACTTTGGTATTGAGGCTTAGCTTTTAAGTAGCCATAGATGAAGCTCTGTCTGCATCGGAGCGAAAGGTGATCATTTATTTCCGCGGCATTGTACAAGTGGGCTAACATAATTGCAGCAATTGCTTGAATTTTGTAGTTAAGAAAAACACGGAACAAACAAACGCGTCCATGCACTATTTGTTCCGTGTTTTCTACTTGTCTATCAATATATAGATAAATCTTATCTATCGCGGTAACTGGTACGCTGGCTGACGAGTCAACCTTATCTGATCCTTATAATTTGACACTTCGTGCCGGACGATCGAGCCGAGCGGACGTGCGCCAATTTTGTCTCGTGAAGACTTGGGTGTGGTCGGTGTGGTGATTTAGTGGTAGGCCGAGGATATTATAGGATTAAAATAGTTTTTTTTTTGTCTCAAGGCTATTATAATTGTTAACGTAACCTTTGGCTAGAGTTTAGACTTCTCACTTTCAAACCATTACTTGTTTGCAGTTCAGCATAAAGTAAAGTAGCATCTGCGCATAGAGGTGCCATGGAGGAAGGGGATGTTAAGAGACTTATTCAGGAAGCTGTTAAGGAGGTGACTAGTGAGATGGAGGGAGAGATGAAAAAAATCTGGGAGGAAAACAAAAAAGTGAAAGAGGAGATACAAAAACTGAAGGATGAAAACCAGACACTGAAAAAGACCCTAGCAGAACTTGACCAGGCCTTAGATGATGTGGAACAGTACAGCCGCAAGGATTCCCTGATCTTGGGAGGTGGAGGCTTTCCGCAAGCCAAAGCTGACCACTATGAGACTCCTTCTGAGACTCGTCAGCTGACCAAAGCCGTGATCGAGGAAAAACTAGGAGTAAAGCTGAAGGGACAGATATCTGCTTGCCATCGCTTAAAAAACAACAAACGTGTCATCATAAAATTCCAGGATCTGGATGACCGCAATGCGGTTTACGAATCCAAATTCAGTCAAACACAGACAGCACAGGCAAGGATCACCATCCATGAAAACCTGACAGCCAAAAGATCAAAGCAGATCCAGCAGCTGGGTGACATGTGGGAGGCTGGCCAAATCTGCAACTATCATACCAAGAACGGCGTCATCATGGCACGCAAAACCAGAGACCAGAGATACATCCCCATCCGAGCCAACATGACCAAGGACGAAATCATCCAAGCTGTGGAACAGGCCCCAAAAAGAAACAACACCCCACAGTCATCCAACCAAAACTTCCTTCGCTCCCAGACCCTGAACAACATCCCATCAGGACGAGTTGCTGAGCAGAGGGCTGACCTTGAGGAGTTTGTGGTCACTCGGAACAGGAGAGGTGGCAGGGGTGGGCGTGGTGGACCTGGACAGAGGGGCTCTGTTTAAACCACTGATGATCTTTGAAGGACTGGCACTGATTAAAAAAAAAATATCTTAGTTAACTAGCCAGCACTTGTGCTATCACTACATCTGCTCAATGTCACTTGACAGGGAATCTCTTTCAGCTGTGCCAAACCTATTCGCAACTTTGGTAAACATCATTGGAGGAAGAACTTTGGCTTAGCATATAAACAAACAATGCAATGGTTTTTCATAAATGTCCCTGGACATGCTCCCGCTCACACTGCCAGTGTGCTATTGGTGTGGCGTGGGAGCATGTGAGTGAGTGTGAGTGTGAATGAGTGAGTGAGGCTGCACGTCTGCCTGATGCAGTTAGTGCAAACAAGCCCAAACTCTACAACATAGAGCTTTTAACACAGAGCATCAGGGACATGTAAATAAATTTGAGTGCAACCACTCCTGAGCACATTGAAAATTATGGAGTTTCCACAGCAAAGACTTGCTATGGCAATAAAACAAAGTTCTGCCAAGGAGCAGACTGAGACCTGGAAAACAGGCTGAAGGACATTCCAGTTATTACCCTCCAATGTTGGTTTATCTTAGTGGCAACTGAATAAATATGTTGAGACTAACACTACAATGTTGCTCAACAGTAAGCACAGAGCAATTCCCCTGACTGAGCGATACAAGTTTTAGCTGAGTGCTGGTATAAAAGAGTATTGTAAATATTTCTAGAAGCCTATAGTTTTGCTTTTGAAATAGCTTTTCCTTCTATGATCATTCAGGTGAAATTGATGAGCTATGCCAGGGACCTGCCTGCTTCTCTTACCTCAGGATGTTCTTTAAAAATAAAAAAAACAGGCTATCCTCTGCTCACCAGCATGTCTCAAATCATCAGCCCCCCCCCCCACACACACACTGACCTACCTTAAGTCCCTTGTCCTTGCTTATGTTTAAACGTGTCTCAGCCTTCATAAATGATATAAGCAACATATCCACGACTCATTCCCAATATGATAAGGTCAGGACCAGCTGCAAATTTCATGAATGTACCAAGGTGAGAAGCCTGAACTGTTTTGAAAATAACATTTCTATCATCCATATAAACGCACGTTCAATGGTAAATAAACTTGATGAAATTGTAACATTTTTGGCACAAATAGACCAGAAGATGGCATTTGTATGCATTTCAGAGACCTGGCTCAATCCAAAAATAGAAAATAAGTTTTGCTTAGGGGATGAATATATGGCTTTCTACAAAAGCAGAGAAACTAAAGTAGGAGGGGGATCAGCAATTTTTGCTTATGACAAATATTTCACTGGCATCCAAAAGATAATACTACATGAATTCAAAACAGCAGAAGTAGTTACCTTACAGGTAACTAATGGAAACAAGCCATCTTTCCTTATTTGTCAAATTTACCGACCCCCTGATAATGAATGGGAATTTCTTCTTGAAATGGAACAGTTTCTTTCCGCCTTAACCGCACTAAACATGCTTGCATTCATTGCAGGTGACTTCAATTTTGATTTATTCTCAATTAATAATAATTCTGCAAATGAATCATTTTTTACATTGATGTGCAGTTTTGGATTTTTGCCAACTATCTCTAAAGCTACCCGCATTACCCCAACCTCAAGTACTCTTATTGATAATATCTTCACAAATGACTTGTCTAAAATAGTAGTACCAGGGGTAATTGTAACAGACCTTTCAGACCACCTTGTAATCTTTACAACTGCAAATGTTGAAAATAAAATATTAGAAAAGAAGGATAAGGAAAGAACAATATTTGATTACAATAAAATTGAACACCTGAAGGGCCACCTAATAGAGAGTCTTGATGATCTCACCACTCAAACAGATCCTGAACTGGCCTGCATACAGATTATACAAGCATACAAGGACGGCATTGCTATGTGTTCAAAAACCATAACATGCTCAAGAAAAAATAACTTCATAAAACCATGGATGACCCCAGCTATACTCTGTTCCATCAATCACAAAAACAAAATGTTTGTGAACAAACTTAAAAATCCTAATTCATACAATATAGCACAATACAACAAATATCGAAACTGTCTAAATAGGGCAATTACAAACTCAAAGAAGGCCTACTATGAAGCAGAATTTCAAAAAAACAACAGGAACCCCAAAAAGACATGGGAAACATTAAATGAACTTCTAAAACAAAAAAGTAAATGTGATATTTTGCCAGGTGAAACACTAAACAACACTGAGAATAGCGGTCAAGAAATGATGTCAATGGCTGAAAGTTTCAACAAATTTTTCACAGAAATAGGGGAAAAGTTGAAACAAAATATTCCTTGTAACAACACAAATCCCTTAGAAAATGTTCGAGAGACAGAAGGAGAAATGACTAACTTTTCTAGTGTCACTGATGATAAAGTGGAACAAATAATTAAACAGCTTAAAGATGTTGGTGCTGGAATTGATGGAATCAATTCAAAAATATTGAAACATTCTTACAAACCTATCCTTTCAAAGCTTACTTATTTCTTCAACCTATGCCTCTCAACAGGAACCTTCCCAGATCCCTTAAAAATAGCATCTGTGAAGCCAATATTCAAAAGTGGAGATCATAATAGCTTATCTAACTACAGACCAATAAGCATTTTGCCAATAATTTCAAAAATATTAGAGAAGGTTATCCACTACCAACTGACAGACTTTGCAACAAGCAGACACATTCTCTCAGACAATCAATTTGGATTCAGGAAAAATAACTCTACCTACATGCCAGTCATGCTTATTCAAGACTACATAACTGAAGCACTGGAAACTAATAACATTATAGCAGGTGTCTTTCTTGACCTTTCAAAAGCATTTGACACTGTAGAACACCAAATACTACTAGAAAAGTTAAACAAAATGGGTTTTCGAGGAAATATTCTAAAAACAATCAAATCATACTTAACAAACAGATTTCAAGTGGTACAGATAGAAGGGGTCAAGTCAACTGAACGAGAAATAAAAATAGGAGTGCCGCAGGGGTCAATTCTTGGACCACTCCTCTTCATTCTATACTTAAATGACATTGCAAATCTTCCAATTGAAGGGCAAATTATGTTGTATGCAGATGATACTGCAATATTTTTCAAACATAAAAACAGAGAAACACTTCAAGAAATAACAAATGCAGCCCTGTCAAAAATATCTGAATGGCTAGAAGCAAACTACCTCACAGTGAACCCATCAAAAACATTTCTCCAAGTATATTCAAAACGGAGAACTGCTGAAAAGTTAAACATTTACATTAGAAACACAGCAGTAGTTGAAATGAAAACAGTGAAATATTTAGGAATCCTTATTGACTCTGACCTCAAATTCACATCTCATATCAGTAGCATATGTAAAATTATCAGCAGAAACATTGGAATGATTGCAAGAGCTAGACGCTTTATCCCAAAACAGCAGCTCATTCAATTATATTATTCTTTGATTTTTCCTTATATCAACTACTGCTGTTTCATTTGGGGTTCCAACTATGAAAACCACCTTCAAAGGCTGGTAATTCTGCAAAAAAGGTTCATGAGACTAATTGAAGGTATTTTCCCACCACAAAGTGCTACCCCAATATTTAAAAAATATAGTATTCTTAAAATTAAAGACGTAGCCAAACTTCAAATAATGCTTATCATGCATAAGTACATAATGCAGGAATTACCAGTCTCTGTAAGACGATTACTTCATCTTTCAACTGACCCTATCCATCAGACAAGAAATATCCATCATTTTCAACCTGTTTTTTCAACAAAAAATTACAGGCTCTACTCATTTCCTTGCATCGGACCCAAACTCTGGAATGACTTAATAGCTAAAGATCTTCTATTAGAAGAAGTACCTCAATCGAAAAACACTTTCAAAAAATATGTAAAGAATATCTTACTTAGTGAGTACTAAGCAAAAGTACTTATCAAAAGATTAAGTGAAGTATTAGCAAAAGTATTAGTTAAGTAATCCTGGGTACTAAGTATCCTCGTAAATATACCTATAAATGAATATGAAAATACCTATGTTAAATCTTACAATAAGAAAAACAACAAGAACATGATAATAAATAGCAATACATACCTAAATAGCGTAATACACACGCTTACCTAGTACTTTTCATACAAAGTGCTTAACATCTCGACAAGTGGCCCAATAATAAATGGACATATTGGTGCATTTATTATTGGGCTAGGCTGACAATGATGTGTTGATAATGTAACCTACCTTTATGATTATCAACACAGGAGATACGTCCCCACTCAAATGGAACGCCGGACTTGAAGGGGTCCATCAGCAACAAGCCCTGCTTAGCTGGTGGGCCCTAGAAAGTCTGGCTGTTGACCTGCGCTCGAATTGACCAGAAATGTTTCCCCACTGGATTGCCATTTGCTGATTTTTCTTCTAGGAGTGAAAGGCTGAATGCACTCTACTAACCAATTATGTATGCATGTATGAATGACTTCTTTCTTAGATGTAGTAGAACAGTCATCTGCTGCTTTCAGCAATGACTACTTTGGCTCTCTTTATTTATTAACCGGTTCCCGCACTTCTTTTGCTTACTTTGTTTTTTTTTTCAATTTTCCTAGCTGGGAGTGCCGCGACTTATCCTTTTTTATTTTTGTCTGGTGTTAACGTAAGGTGCTGTGAGTCGCTGGGCTGAGGGTGGGGGCACTCCTGGTCACCTAATAATGGGTGGCGGAGTAGTTCGAAAAAAAAAAATATACATTTGTAGTTAAGATACAGAAGTGGTGCCTAGTGAGATCCATACAACCTCATGGTCTCATCCGTCAGAGGTATCGTCCCAAAGCTGTCCTAATTCCTCCATTTTATTGCGAACAAGAGTTCCTTTCCCAAATATGCAACCACACACTACACAGCATGCAGCGGGTCACGCCGAAACTGGCACGCGCCACGCCGTCTGACTTGTAGTTCTGGACTTCGAGTACCTAGAGTACGCTCTCTACCGCAGCCAGACTGGCACCGTGAGCTGACCTTCCCAGCCCTTCTCTCTGAGTGACTGATGGTGCGTTCTGGATCATCTGTGCTCTCGTCTGTGACAGCTACTGTTCTGTGCTCTGTGTTCTGTGTTCTGACCCCCACCCTGCACCCCTGCAGTGTCACGGCCGTGGTCCTCGCCGAGCTCCGGTCCTGGAGCTCACGGAAAACGAGGAGCGACTCGCGCTCACCGAATACCAAAACGAAGACAACCTGGACGACCTGAGTGACAGCGAAGAGCATCTAGTTGTGTTCGACACACGGACTTAGCGCTTGGTTTCCTGGGCGTCGGCCGGTGCTCGGTCTTGATGCTGCCTCTAACGAGAGTATTTTTGTACAGCATCTTGTGTGCCATACCCGACCTTGGCGTGGGTTGAGAGGTCGGCTTCGCTATCAACAGTTAGCTCTTATCTAGCATTTTCTGTGATGGAACCTGTGAAGACTCATCGAAGTTGCATTTGTGATGCACTGTGGTTCTCGTTTTGAATTCGCCAGAGTGCTGCTTTTCATCGTGGTTGATGTTGATCCTTGTCTAAACTTTTTTTTGTTATTCTGATATGAAAAGGTGCTCAGAAGGGCGGAATGCATTCCATCGAAACTTTCCGATGCTGGGGAAATATGCCGCTCACGCATTCGCTGAAGCTCTTATCGGAGCGGTAATGCATAATCTAGCCAGCCGGGTTTATTGAATAATGGATGATGATGCCGCTCTCAGTTTGTTGGTTGGCCTCGTCGATGATGTCTTTGATGCGTATCGGTCTGTGTTGTTTGCAATGTGGAGTGCCGAATGTCGCTGCGTGAAAGAGAATCGAAGTGGTTTTAATGATGTTTCGGAATGCTTGATTTGATTAGACCAACGTGTGCTGCCCGCTTGCACTTATATATCCCACCGAGTCCGGCACTGTGCCGCTCTTTGACGCTGGTCACGCATGATGGTGCGTGTTGTGATGTGGCATTGACGAATGATCCTTAATTATCCTGTGTTCTTAGAAGTGCCATATTCGCCGATATGTCTTGATCTGACAGGTGCTGAATGTTCAGCCGCTCCCCGTCTCCCTCTACGTCTCTCTGTCTCCTCTCGGTGTCTCTCTGTCTCCCTCTGCGTCTCTCTGTCTCCCTCTGCGTCTCCCCGTCTCCCTCTGCCTCTCTGTCTCCCTCTGCGTCCCTCTGTCTCCTCTCGGTGTCTCTCTGTCTCCCTCTGCGTCTCTGTCTCCTCTCGGCGTCTCCGTCTCCCCCGCTCTGTCGCCCTCTGCGTCTCTGTCTCCCCTCTGCGTCTCTCCGTCTCCCCTGCTCTGTCTCCCAGTGAGCGGCTTACTGTGAGCACCCGCCGCCTATCCCGATGATTGCGTCTGTCCGAGAAGGATAGATTTGCCGGCCGGCCGGCCAGGTGAACGGTAATGCTCAGATTACCTGCCCGGGGCGGCCGCCGCGCGGACGGACGCCTCATGTGTGCGCCGGCCTCGGCTTCGATCACAGCGATCGTGTGCCCGGCCGTACCACTCGTGCGTCCTTGGTGAATCGTCGGGGCCAGTGTCGTATCTATATGTATTGTGACGTGAATGGAATACTGTTCTCATGGGAAACTATATACGCTGAATATATGCGTTGTGATTAGTTGTTTGATTAGCTGAGGAGGATAAGCGAGAAGTGAATGCAATTTACGTTGGCGGACTCCGAGATCAGCCACCATTCTTAAAATTGTTTCCCATACTTATCAAATCACTATTTCCTCTCCAGACTGCTTATGCTGTGGTGAAAACATTACTTTTGCTGCGTCAATCTTGGATGGATGATTTTCAGAGGATTTTGAAGTACGCTTTAGATGAGATATGAATATTTTCCTACCCTCTCCGGGACCGAGAGATGCATCTCCAATTTATGGTATTTCTCGTGGTATTCCTCAGCCATGACCTCGCGTACCACGCATATCTACCTACATTTCGCGATGGTGGCTTCTTTTTTGTGATTGTCACACTCAACCTACACTAGATCCAGTATCAATGGAACAAGAATGTTATTGGCTATCGAGCTCCAGGCCAATGCTGAAAATATACAGCATCCATATGTTCATGTCAGCATAGGTATCATAAGTTAAATGACTACGGCGGAAATTGCGATGCAGATGGTAAATGGCTTGGACACAAACACAAGTTGAAACGATTCATTCCACAGCTGTGGTTGGTATTCGAGGAATTTCGAGCATCAAGTGTGAGTTGGAAGATGCTATCAGCAATGATATTTTGGTGCCGGAATTTCGTCCTGGTCCGGACGTTGCCGTGTGTCCATGTTTCCAGCGCTGCACACTGCATGCGGTTGTCGTGCTGGCAATCCCCGTCAAAAACCATTTATACCTTTCCCCTATTTTTCAGTATATCTGGCAACATGGAAAAACAGCAGTCAGCTAGGTCACCCGTTAAACATAGCTTATGTTGCATGAATTCCTGAAAATTATGATTAAATTGTTTACCCAAGAAGCAATAAATTGTTTACCCAAGAAGCAAACCATTATCCGGTTCACTATGCTACGATCACCCAATACTCGAGGATCTTCTACTCTACAATATTGTATCACGATGCATTGCCATCAGTCGTCTGCCGTAGAGGATTATACCTATTTCGGTATCTGTTGCACCCCTGCTGTGATGACGGCCGCTGCTGGTGGTATCGTTTCTCGGCGACCAGCCAGCAGTCACGGCGGTGCAGCATTACGCCGTTTCCTGTAGCTCCCGCGGAGAATGCAGCGCCTCCCGGCTCCCATTGAGCCGCGCATTCCGGCCGCTCGGGGGTCGTGGTTCTCACCGGGGCCCATTGTTCCCAGCTGCCATGGCACCGACAAAGAAGGCGGGCATAGAACTAGCCACATATAGCCCTATGTGTGCGCTAGGCAAGGCTCGGGACGGAGATAGAACATGTGCGAGAATAAGTAATTATCGACGGTCGTTCGGTTATCCTCACACCGCTTGCGACTGCACCACCGCCACCTCGGCCGCTACCATGCCCCTGAAGCCACCGCCTCCGCCGCCTCTATCCCGCCGCCGCTACATCCGCCACCGCCGCCGCTAGGCCGCCGTCTGACCACCTCCCTAACGAGCACGCTAACGACTAACGAGCACAAGTGGCCTGATCCCGCCCGGAACACACCGCCACCGCCGGCCTCATCCGTCGCTGGCTCACGTGCAGAGACAGGCAGACAGATAGACAGACACAGGAAGTCCCTCCGCCCTTCCCTGTGCGCCGCACGTGCAGAGACAGATAGACAGACAGGGAAACTTCCTGATTTGTCCCTGTGCGCACGTGCACAGACAGACAGACAGACAGACGAACAAGCAGAGAGAGAGAGAGAGAGAGAGAGAGAGAGAGAGAGAGAGAGAGAGAGAGAGAGAGAGAGAGAGAGAGAGAGAGAGAGAGAAAGAGAGAGAGAGAGAGAGAGAGAGAGAGAGAGAGAGAGAGAGAGAGAGAGAGAGAGAGAGAGAGAGAGAGAGAGAGAGAGAGAGAGAGAAGGGGGAAGACCCACGCACACGACTCTGCGGCGACGGTGGCTGAGGAGGCACGCCGGTACAATCTGCCGCTGATGACTGCCGTCAATGGCCCACATTAGTCAGCGGCGCGTCGGCGGCCGGCCCCAGGCCAGATCGCCACTGTCCTGATTGCCCCCGGCACCCGGCCAAATCAACAAGTCGGCCGGTCACGTGCCGCCGACAAATGACCCACAGACACGACGGCCCACTGAGCACGTAGTCGTCTCCCTCTCGGCTCTCCCCCTCTCTCCCTCACTGGCGGATCCAGAGAGACGGTGTTGGACGCTGCTGGGGGAGGTGTCATACCTCAAAAAGACTTCTCTAAATTCCAAACACTAATCGGATTTCGATTTCTCAGCACTGCTGCGCAGATAAACACAATTTTCCTCATAAAAGTCGTTCACTTTTAGTTTTATTGTCGAAAAACCGCAAATTTGTTGTCGATTTCAGACGCTGTGTGTGGGGGAGAGGCATTTGCCCCAAATGCCCCACCCCTGAATCCGCCAGGGAGTGGGGGCAGTTGGATCTCTCTCTCTCTCTCTCTCTCTCTCTCTCTCTCTCTCTCTCTCTCTCTCTCTCTCTCTCTCTCTCTCTCTCTCTCTCTCTCTCTCTCTCTCTCTCTCTCTCTCTCTCTCTCTCTCTCTCTCTCTCCCTCTGTCTATCTCTCTCTGTCCGTCTAACAACAACAAAATCAAAATCGTGCTTACTGGGACAGTCGTCACGGCTGTGCTGTGAGCTGGCGACTCGTAACTTGTAGGTAGGCTGTGCCGCATCACAGGCGGGTGCTGCGGCACAGTATACCAGGGCAGTAATACTGCGGAGCCCGACGCGTGCGCTGTGCTGCGTTCTTCTCGTCACAAATGAATTAATTAACTTTGTGCGTGAAGTCAGTAGCTTTTGATGCCTGTGCGACGCAACGGCCGACAGTCAGAGTCGGGCAGGTTGTACGGAAAAATGTTATTTTAAGGGAGTTAGGCTGAGAAGAGCTCCCGTGCGGATCACTGGTCCCGCAAACTCTTCTTCCCTTTCCGCTTCCCTCTCTCTCTCTCTCTCTCTCTCTCTCTCTCTCTCTCTCTCTCTCTCTCTCTCTCTCTCTCTCTCTCTCTCTCTCTCTCTCTCTCTCTCTCTCTCTCTCTCTCTCTCTCTCTCTCTCTCTCTCTCTCTCTCTCTCTCTCTCTCTCTCCGCACGGGTTTTCCCGAGTAGTCCGGCGCTGTGGTTCGTCCCCACCCCTCCCGCCGTCGGCGTCGCTGTTAATGGTGCCCCGGGGTCTCTCCGCGCGGAGGACAGCGGCGACGGGGACGCCTGACCGACACCATTAGTGGAATGGACCGCCGCAGAATAGACTGACAGACGGTGGCGCAGTAGCAAGTGCTGGTTTGGCGACAACTGCCCTGAATAATCAGATGAGGTTGAAAGCAATCAGAAACGTGGTTGTCTTTTATTCCAGCGCTTCTACGATTTGCTGGTAACTGGTTAAGGTATGAAACTGTGAAATTTTACGCAGCTACTGATATCAAAAAGTTGGTTTTACCCGTCTCAAAAAATTAAAACGTGCAGTTGACGTTGGCTGACATTGGCTGACGTACAAGTCTCGAGTCGGAGCGGTTACCGGAGCATGGGTGCCGTCTATAGGTAAGTATGTCGGAGCAGGCAGCTCAAACGCACCTCAGACGCGAGTGTCAAAGTTGTGCCGCTTACAATGCATAAGCCCTGCAATACATACCTATGAGGCTAGTTGCGTTAAACTTGGTCGTGTTGTTAGGTACCCATCGGTAGGTACGTGTTGTTAGGTACCCATTTACAAGTGTAGCGGTTGAGCTTCTACTGCACGTGCCCACGTCTAGGTTGTTAACGTCTACCTCTCAAGAAGGGCTAGGCCGATCACGCTCAAAGCCAGTGCGCCGCCTAGGACTTGTTAGCTGGGTAATCCTTACGATGCGCAAGTCGGGCGGGTGCGAAGAATCTACCCAACTGTATTGCATCCTCAATAACCCGCTCTGGGCCGATACTTGACGTCCCCTTTGCCGGGCCGGGGAGGTTTGAACATCCCCGTCTGACTCGGCTCCTGGGCCACGTAGCGATACACGGTAAGAACTAAGAAGCGTTCGAAGAGCGTCAAACATCATGAAGAAAGTAATCCAGTGAGTATTATTTAGTTAAGGTCAAAGATCAGGTCAGTAGAGGTCATCAAAGGTCAAATTTTGTCCATAATAAAACTTTTGGCAATTCGAGGCATAACCCTGGGACGAATAGAACTACAGCACCGCGGAAAAACGCAGTCGATAGCCCTTTTAAAACACTTTCTGAATGGTTAAGAACCCAATGGTTTAGCTGACAAAAAAGCTTAAATCTAAGTTTTCCAAAAACGAAGGTGCTCTGCGCCGCCGTCCTTTTGTGATACCTGAGAACAAACTGCATGGAGGTGCCTGAACAGTGCCGCCCAGCTCAGTATAAAGCATATTATATAGTTGACGCCTTTCTCAAATGAGTTAACGTTGGGATTCTTGCATGAAATATCTATATTACTATTTGTGGTGACGTAGTTTCTGTCTATTACGAAGGTCGCGACATGGTGCTACGTAGCGCGGGTTACAGGTCACACCGTTGCACCTACCGCGCTGAAGTTTGCGCAACTCATAGAACAAGGATGGACAACGTGCCTTTGATGGGTCTCAGCTCGATCGGATCGATAGCGAGCGCGTGGCGCGTGCCCAAAAAGTGCAAATTCGCGTCATAGACTTTACATGTATTAATCGGCTGGCAAAAACGGGCGAAAACAGCCAAATTTGCCCGACACGGGTCCGGTCCCGGTGCAATATCTCGGTAACCGTGGGCCCGACCGGTACGGGGAAAACAGCATCGTGTAGAGAATCGAACGGGCTATCGAATGGTGTGCGGTGCAGGGGTTGGCACGCGCCACGTGCACCGGGGAGGACACTTTCTTTTGAAAAATGGACGTTTTGGACGGATTTTGGAATTTATATTAATTTCAGGTGATCGTCAGACGGAATGAGTTGAAACAGCGCCTATTAGCAATAAAAATGTACCGTCTCTCATGGAAAAATTGTGAAAAGCGAATTGATCAAAACCAATGT